TGTATTCTGTATAATATGAAATGTCCTAGGGTCCATTACTTCATGGTTTCAGTTATACACAGCCTTTCAAAATCACATTAATGTACATGTTATTTTGTTATCTTGTTCATTACATTTTATTTTCGTGGTTTGTCTAGCCACAAGAATAACAAGGCAGCAATAAATATAACCACGAAAAGTTCCAGCAAGCATAAAAAAATTTTCAACAATACGAACATTTCATGTTATACAAATCACAAAATGAAGTCCATGATAAGCAGCTATTTCCACTTTCACAATAACACCAAAGTTAAATAGCACATTGTCAGCAGATTTTTAAAAAAAGCCTTCCAATCTGAACACTTCAGAACATTATTAAATTAAACTTCATACTTAGGAGCAGTAGATTAATTGATTGGGATTGCTAACGAATATTGGTAATCTAACAAATTATAAATATAGGTAAGAAACACTATCACAATATTAATGCTAATTCAAATTAATACAATATCCCAAAAATACAAACATATCACAATCTACTGGTTTAAATCATAAACATTCATTTACATAAGTGTCAAAGCCTTTATAAAATATCAAAATATTTCATCACAATAGTTATCAACTCTCACTGAGGTAAAATTCATAACTCGTGTATCACAAGAGGATGTTACAATATCTATAGACAGATGGTCTCCCCATCATGTTTCCAGGTGGTCAGTGATTTCCAGGACTCCGATAGTTGACTCCTGGATTCATGCCTTTCCTTAAAGATTTGCTCAAATTTTGAGTACCCGCTATTATCTTTGTAACTTGTCAAAATTTTGTAAACGTTGCTCTAGACTCACCCCAAGAAATCCCAGAAAAACTGCTCAGAGGTCACCACTATTTGTGTGTTCTGCTGTTACTTATTATCTTATCAAAAATATACCATAAATTAATCAATACACTAGTACATATAGAGTTTTATAGTCTTCTGTTAGAGGTCGTGTTTTGTTTACGTCGCCATCACAACAAACTAGTACATATAGAGTTTTATAGTCTTCTGTTAGAGGTCGTGTTTTGTTTACGTCGCCATCACAACAAACTAGTACATATAGAGTTTTATATAGAGTCTTCTGTTAGAGGTCGTGTTTTGTTTACGTCGCCATCACAACAAACTAGTACATATAGAGTTTTATATAGAGTCTTCTGTTAGAGGTCGTGTTTTGTTTACGTCGCCATCACAACAAACTAGTACATATAGAGTTTTATATAGAGTCTTCTGTTAGAGGTCGTGTTTTGTTTACGTCGCCATCACAACAAACTAGTACATATAGAGTTTTATATAGAGTCTTCTGTTAGAGGTCGTGTTTTGTTTACGTCGCCATCACAACAAACTAGTACATATAGAGTTTTATATAGAGTCTTCTGTTAGAGGTCGTGTTTTGTTTACGTCGCCATCACAACAAACTAGTACATATAGAGTTTTATATAGAGTCTTCTGTTAGAGGTCGTGTTTTGTTTACGTCGCCATCACAACAAACTAGTACATATAGAGTTTTATATAGAGTCTTCTGTTAGAGGTCGTGTTTTGTTTACGTCGCCATCACAACAAACTAGTACATATAGAGTTTTATATAGAGTCTTCTGTTAGAGGTCGTGTTTTGTTTACGTCGCCATCACAACAAACTAGTACATATAGAGTTTTATATAGAGTCTTCTGTTAGAGGTCGTGTTTTGTTTACGTCGCCATCACATCTTGATTTCTGTATTGAATTTCTAACTCTTGATAAAGAAGCAGTAATCCTTGCACTGGGTGATGTAACTTACACTCAGGAATTCACTTGACCTCATGGGGTCAACATAGACACTTGTAATAGTAAGGCTAAGTCAATATTTTTCGGGTCCCTACTGCACAGACACCAATTTAAAAGAAGTTATCAATATTTAACTCCCTTGCTAGATTAGGGTCAAAGGTTGTGGTGATTGGTATACAAGTTCAAATATCGACATTATTTACTTTCACCTCTAGTACGCCCAGTATTATTTCCATTCCACATCATATTCTATTAGAGGGACCATTCCACTTTGGCCCAAAGAGGGGCAATAGGCAAGATTGGTCCACATCAATTACATTGTACATATTTATATAATTACATATATCTGTTCCTGTGTTGACAATGAATTTTTTCTAGACTGACAATAGAAATAGAATGTAACATCTCTACATTGTTATATATTATCAATAAATCATTCACATTAAATAGCAAAAGGATGGTATTCAATTTTTCATACAAATTTTGATATGAAATTTGGTTTTCAAAAACTTTAAAAAAAAAAGAGAAAAACATACATTTTACTTGAAATATGACCAAGTAATGGAATACAGCTTGAGGAGATTGCAAATCCAAAGTTATCAAAAATGAAAATAAATGCACCACTCTATTATAAAGTACCTGGTATTTATCATTTTTCTAGGTATAAAGTTATGTTAAATGCAAAATTTAAAAAAAAAATCATATTAAAGGACATATCTATCACTTGTCCAGTAAATGCATCTCTTTTGATTTTGGTCCCCAGACAAAAACTGGTCACCTTGAAGCAGGACTATTCTACATAGCAATCTATTGCAAAATACAGATCTTTCTCTTCTCCAGAATCCTAGTTCATGAGATACAACTGTATCAATGAAAAAAAAAAAAAAAAAAAAAAGGGGGGTGGGGGGTGGGGAGAGAGAAATATGAAAACCATGGTTGCCAAATGAGTGATATTCCAGCAATGACTCTTCTACCATTGGTCAGACTATGATTGTATTATACCTTGACAAAGCTGGAAAGTAACAATTTTCTGTAATGATCATTTTGATCTTCAAATTAATAAAGTTCAAGAAAATGAGACATTTAGGGTTTGTCTTGCTATTTATCACACTTGAGCTAGAGACAATTGAATCAATGAACACTTTATATGATGCCTTGAGGAAGTGAAACATACCAACAAGTGTGAATGGTCTATATACTGAATGCGAATGATATTGCTTTGTTCAAAAATTGATTTGGGATAATTAAGAAAATGAAATATGTAACCTTCCCATGTAAATCAACTGGGATGTCTCACAGGATATAGAACCAAAATGCACCAATTTAATGAATCATCCTGCACATTTCTACGAGCACTGAATGCACCAAATATTGATGTGAACACTTTGATACAAATACCTTGCAACAGTTCCCTGAGTTTATGGCTACTTCAACAGATTGCTCCATAAAAAAATCTATTTTATTTCTCTCACATTGTCTTTTTTATTATCACTATTATTTTTTCATTTCAATGGGATTCCGATTCTTTACACAATCCCTATCCCCCAACCCCCCTGACTGAAGTATTAAGTTGGTCAGAAAGTTATATTCCAATTATTAAAGAGACACATTTTTTATACGGAATGTCTCTATCAAATCCTTGAGATTACAGAAAAATAACTTTGACACTGGTCAGTAAGTGATATGGAAATGCCGTCCAAACAAACTCTCCTGGATTACAAGCCCAGATATATATATAAGTAACACTTTAAACAGCATATCATACAAGCTCAGGGTTTTCCATAAGAGCTGGTCGCCGGCCAATCTGACCGGCTACTTTGATCATTTGGCCGCCTACACCAATCCACTTTAGTAATAATGTTCCGTACACGACTACACGTACACAGCAGGCCAGCCTCCTACTTTCACTACACAGCCTACTACTAACAAAATTATGGAAAACCCTGCAAGCTATATGTAATGATAAACAACAGCAGAAATATTGTTAAATTATCGTTACAACAACCACTATAGTGACAGAAGTAGGAAGCTAGTGAGTCTCTGCTGAAAGATCATTAAATAGGCCATCATTCAATGCATTTAGGCTTTTAAGGTACACAAATTTCATTGATTCCAAGAACATCATTCAATGTATTTAGGCTTTTAAGGTACACAAATTTCATTGATTCCAAGAACATCATTCAATGTATTTAGGCTTTTAAGGTACACAAATTTCATTGATTCCAAGAACATCATTCAATGCATTTAGGCTTTTAAGGTACACAAATTTCATTGATTCCAAGAACATCATTCAATGTATTTAGGCTTTTAAGGTACACAAATTTCATTGATTCCAAGAACATCATTCAATGCATTTAGGCTTTTAAGGTACACAAATTTCATTGATTCCAAGAACATCATTCAATGCATTTAGGCTTTTAAGGTACACAAATTTCATTGATTCCAAGAACATCATTCAATGCATTTAGGCTTTTAAGGTACACAAATTTCATTGATTCCAAGAACATCATTCAATGCATTTAGGCTTTTAAGGTACACAAATTTCATTGATTCCAAGAACATCATTCAATGCATTTAGGCTTTTAAGGTACACAAATTTCATTGATTCCAAGAACATCATTCAATGCATTTAGGATTTTAAGGTACACAAATTTCATTGATTCCAAGAACATCATTCAATGTATTTAGGCTTTTAAGGTACACAAATTTCATCGATTCCAAGAAAAGAGATGGTTGAAACAAAAATATGAAAAAATACCATTCAATGCATATTTTGTTACATATACAAAAATTGAAGACAACACTTCTTTCAAAACAGAATTTCAGTCAAAAGCAGTAGTAATTTTCTACTACATGCATATTTTTTTAAATATTCAAAACTTCAATAAAATTATTTCAAGATTAATTTTTTTGGATATTTGCATGTTAATATTAGCAATTCACAGACCATACAATGATCAAATTTAACCAAATGAACAATCCATCACAGCTTTACATCATACCTGACCAATCACAGCCAATGTCACATATCAAACTTGACCAATCACAGCCAATGTCACATTGTCAAGCTTAGATGAATCTCATTTGATCAAAAAAATTCCAATCATAAAAACAATTTAGCCAAAGAAAACTATCAATTTAAAAAATTGAACTGGACACAAAAAAAACTTTTATCACATCATGCAAACCCTTCTATAAATAAACACTTCTATATCAAATACTGTTTCAGTGGAACTTCGGAGCATGCTTTGCTCCACCATTTCCATTTGAGCTGCCTTTATTCCAATGGTAGTTATCTCCCTTGCTATGGTAAGATTTTTGGTAGTTTCCGTTGCCATGGTAGCTGCCTTTGTTATGGGTGGTGTTAGATGATGCTGTGTTGCCAGGATACGCGCCATTACTCCTTGCCTTGTTTTCAGGTCGTTTCTGTCCTTGACTGTAGCTCCCTGGTGCAGACGATGATGAAACCGAGGGTGATAATGACGTTGATGAGCTTGACGATGATGCGGTTGTTGCTGTGACAGATGATGAAACATCTGATGTTTTTGCCTTAGTAACCAATGTACCACTGACTTTTTTCTTGTCCTCATTAGTCACAGTGGTTCCACCTGGAGCTTTGGTTTTATTCAAATTCTCACCTGTTTTTATAGTACTATTCTGGTTCTCCTTGGCTTTATTCACATTGCTCGTGTTTTCCTTTGACTTTGTGGGCGACTGTTTCACTGGTGACGACACCGTTGATTTCCCTGCCGCATTATTCACCTGATCCATGAATTGCTGTCGCACTTCGTTGACATGATCAGGAGAGACGCGTTTTCCATTCACCTGCAGCTCCTCCGCTGATGCTGGACGCTGACGGAACTTTGAGCTAAAGGATTGATTGTTGTAGAAATTGTGCTGGTGCTTGCTGTAGAAGTTGGCCGACTTGCCATAGTAAAGCCCACGGGAGAACTGCTGAGGACGACCCTGTGACGTACTACGGGTAGTTACAATGTTCACCTACAACAAACAATTTTCACATCACTTGTAAAACCTTTAATGGGTACAATAATAGAGGTTCATTTTCCAAAAGTAATTCAAGCAAGAGATTATATTACAAATCATAATGGCTTTGAATGAAATATGAAAATTCAAATGTACCTTCTTTAGCTTCTCATCCATCAAATGAAATCTGTTTTTTGTCATTTGCAGACTGCTAAATCAGTGCATGTAAGGACAACAACAGCATCATTGGACAGATGGCTTCAAGAGCCAGGGTCATAAGGATGGGTGGCTAGGGGGACACTAACAGCTGAGTACATAGGCCAGCTGTATAGGGGACACCCAACACTTGTCAACAGCCAGGGTCATAAGGATGGGTGGCTAGGGGGACACCCAACACTTGTCAACAGCCAGGGTCATAAGGACGGGTGGCTAGGGGGACACTCAACACTTGTCAACAGCCAGAGTCATAAGGATGAGTGGCTAGGGTAACACTAACAGCTGAGTACATAGGCCAGCTGTATAGGGGGACACCCAACACTTGTCAACAACCAGGTATAGAGACAACAACAGTCAGGGTCGGGTGAGGACAGATGTGTAGGGGTCAACACAGACAGGGTCAGGTGAGGACAGGTGTGTAGGGGTCAACACAGACAGGGTCAGGTGAGGACAGATGTGTAGGGGGACAATACCAGTCAGGGTCAGGTGAGGACAGGTGTGAAGAGGGACAACAACAGTTAGGGTCAGGTGAGAACACTTAACTATAGTATGACAACAGACAAGGTCATATGAGTTCATTTACCTATAGGAGGATAACAACAGATAAGGTCATGTGAGTACACTTATCTATAGGAGGACAACAACAGACAGGGTCATATGAGTACATTTACCTATAGGAGGATAACAACAGACAAGGTCATGTGAGTACACTTATCTATAGGAGGACAACAACAGACAGGGTCATATGAGTACATTTACCTATAGGAGGACAACAACAGACAAGGTCATAGGACAGGTATATATGTAGACAGGGCCATATGAGAATGACTATGATGGGAGACCCACACCCACAGTCATGAGGACAGGGGCCTTGATAGGATATCACCAGTCTGTGTTATACCAGGACAGGTGTCCAGGGAAAGGAAGTAGCAGGATACGAGGCCCTGCGACAACGTGTAAGCTGTCATTTGTTTTAAAGAGCAGCTCTCTCCCTTTACATGTTCAATTGAAACTGAAAATAGTTAAACTTGTTCAAATTAAACCAAATTATGCTTGTTTAAATAAATTACAATGTGAAATATCAAAGTCAACATTGCCCAAACTTGAAGTGTTTATAAACAATAAAAGTGTTAAAAATGCAGAAACCAATTGGTAAAGACAATGTCTTGTGCGAAATATTGAAAAATAAGATATTATGATGATTGTTTGAAACGCTCATCAGCTTACTGACTGTAAAGATTTTTTTTATTTTGTTCTACAGAAACTGAAGACCCAAAAATAAGCAAGTCTGCTTGTGATTGTGTATAGATAGAAGTTAACACCGACATATCAATTTGGGGAGTGTGGATTTAGATTTACAGTTCAATATTGATGATTATCAAAACTCATTTCATTGGCGTTTACATATAATTTTTTTGACGTAATAAATAGAGTCTTGGCATGATAACCCTATCAAAATGTATAGAGAAACACATACTACATAGACCAACTGTAGAAATCATTGTCATTGACAATCTGCTACCTGCAGCCTTTACCGTCAACATGAACAGTGACCACATGGAGCCATTATTCTGATCCCAATATCTCTAGAATCAGTAGTTAAACAGTCACAATCTAAGAATGTGTTACTGAAACAAGAATAGAAAGAACTTGCACCAGACAGAAAATTATTGTTCTCAAGGAAAAAAGTCACATGTTTGAATTTAAACTGACCAGACATTTACAGTATTGTATTTGTTTGTTCTCAAAATTTGGACCTGTAAAAATTCTTTGAACTGTACACAGTATACTGTATACAGTACACAAGATTTTATCAAAGGGCGGGAATTCGGTTAAGGGGTTGTAGGCTCTATATGTGGTACTGCACATTGTCGTAGTATGATCAATGTATCCACCAAGTTTCATTATCCTACATTAATTGCAAAGCAAAGTTACACTGGAGGCATGAAATTTTAACAAAGGGCAATAACTCTGTAATTGAGAGGTCAAGAGCCCTTAATTTGGTGCACTGCACATCCCTTAGAATGACAAACGTATACAAAATTTTATGATCCTTGTTAAGTTGTGGACAAAGTGGTGACTATATGCTCCCCTGAAAATTTCGTGGAGCATAAATTGATATATTTCAATTTCCAACCAGCTAATTGCTTTAAAAGGCATTTCATCTATTCAACATGTGAATCAGATATGATCATAAACTCTGTAAATTATCTAAAAGCAATACCATCTGATTATGTCGTTCTCGTTCCTTCTCCATGATTTCGTCGATGTTGATGACATGGGCTCGATTCTCCAAGTTTCCATCCTTCGTGGTTGCCAATGTATACATCGAAACAGAATTCCCATGCATCTCACCAAACCTAAATTTTTAAGGTAAACATGTCATATCAATAGGATTAATTAGACAATGTAGTATTTACAAATTCATCCTGGATACTCCAGGGGTTACAATAGTGTTGTTCCGATTAATCGAGTTCATCGAGTATCACTTGTTTGAGATGTTCGATCAATTAATCAAGTAAGGAATCTGTAATCGATTTTCATCGGAAGTACTTGACATCGTGATGTATGAAAATAAATTATTTAAACATTGAAATTATTTTCAACATCAATGAAATAATTATTTAAATAATTAATAAAATTATTATAAAAAACGACATTTGTTTTTTATTAAAAAGTACTCTGAGCAATAAACAAATAAGAAGATGGTATATGTACAACATAGTAATTACTTGAATTGCTGTTAAATCATTACACAAAATACGTATTCAGACTTGAATAATATCTATACCAGACAATTAATAATTAATTGATTTTAATCGATCATCGATCGATTACACACAGTTGATGATTGATGATTTCAACCGATTCCCTACACTAGGTTACAATCACTTTAGTTCTCTGTGACCCTGGAATCATCCTCGTTACTCCGGGAGTTACTGTAACTTTGGTTCTCTGTACCCCTGGAAATGGAACCTTCAATTTTACCATATGTTCCATGGGTACAGAGAACCAAAGTGACTATAACCCCTGGAGTAACGAGGATGGTTCCAGGGTTACAGAGAACCAAAGTGATTGTAACACCTGGAGTATCGAGGATGGTTCCAGGGGTGCACTTAACTAAAGTGACTGTAACCCCTGGAGTAACGAGGATGGTTCCAGGGTTACAGAGAACCAAAGTGATTGTAACACCTGGAGTATCGAGGATGGTTCCAGGGGTGCACTTAACTAAAGTGACTGTAACCCCTGGAGTATCGAAGATGGTTCCCGGGGTGCAGAGAGCGAAAAGTGATTGTAACCCCTGGAGTATCTAGGATGGTTCCAGGGGTGCAGAGAGCGAAAGTGATTGTAACCCCTGGAGTATCGAGGATGGTTCCAGGGGTGCAGAGAGCGGAGTGATTGTAACCCCTGGAGTATCGAGGATGGTTCCAGGGGTAAAGAGAGCGAAAGTGATTGTAACCCCTGGAGTATCGAGGATGGTTCCAGGGGTAAAGAGAGCGAAAGTGATTGTAACCCCTGGAGTATCGAGGATGGTTCCAGGGGTAAAGAGAGCGAAAGTGATTGTAACCCCTGGAGTATCGAGGATGGTTCCAGGGGTGCAGAGAGTGAAAAGTGATTGTAACCCCTGGAGTATCGAGGATGGTTCCAGGGGTAAAGAGAGCGAAAGTGATTGTAACCCCTGGAGTATCGAAGATGGTTCCAGGGGTGCAGAGAGCGAAAAGTGATTGTAACCCCTGGAGTATCGAGGATGGTTCCAGGGGTGCACTTAACTAAAGTGACTGTAACCCCTGGAGTATCGAGGATGGTTCCAGGGGTACAGAGAGTGAAAGTGATTGTAACCCCAGGAGAATCGATGATGGTTCCAGGAGTAGAGAGAGTGAAAGTGATTGTAACACCTGGAGTATCGAGGATAGTTCCAGAGGAACAGAGAGAGTAAGTGATTGTAACCCATGGAGTATCGAGGATGGATGTGTTAACCCCCCAGGGGTGCAGAGAGCGAAAAGTGATTGTAACCCCTGGAGTATCTAGGATGGTTCCAGGGGTGCAGAGAGCGAAAGTGATTGTAACCCCTGGAGTATCGAGGATGGTTCCAGGGGTGCAGAGAGCGGAGTGATTGTAACCCCTGGAGTATCGAGGATGGTTCCAGGGGTAAAGAGAGCGAAAGTGATTGTAACCCCTGGAGTATCGAGGATGGTTCCAGGGGTAAAGAGAGCGAAAGTGATTGTAACCCCTGGAGTATCGAGGATGGTTCCAGGGGTAAAGAGAGCGAAAGTGATTGTAACCCCTGGAGTATCGAAGATGGTTCCAGGGGTGCAGAGAGCGGAGTGATTGTAACCCCTGGAGTATCGAGGATGGTTCCAGGGGTAAAGAGAGCGAAAGTGATTGTAACCCCTGGAGTATCGAGGATGGTTCCAGGGGTAAAGAGAGCGAAAGTGATTGTAACCCCTGGAGTATCGAGGATGGTTCCAGGGGTAAAGAGAGCGAAAGTGATTGTAACCCCTGGAGTATCGAAGATGGTTCCAGGGGTGCAGAGAGCGAAAAGTGATTGTAACCCCTGGAGTATCGAGGATGGTTCCAGGGGTAAAGAGAGCGAAAGTGATTGTAACCCCTGGAGTATCGAGGATGGTTCCAGGGGTAAAGAGAGCGAAAGTGATTGTAACCCCTGGAGTATCGAGGATGGTTCCAGGGGTGCAGAGAGCGAAAAGTGATTGTAACCCCTGGAGTATCGAGGATGGTTCCAGAGGTACAAAGAGCGAAAGTGATTGTAACCCCTGGAGTATCGAGGATGGTTCCAGGGGTACAGAGAGTGAAAGTGATTGTAACCCTTACAGTATCAATGATGCTATGAATCAATAACCAATTAATTGACAACCTGTCCTATCATAGTACAGAGGGTGGAAAACATTTTATTTTTCAATGTCCAATATATGATAATGATCAAAGAAATAAAAGGTTATTCAGACACATTGGTCAACTAAATATCACTATTCTCGTCGTGTCCATTATTGCAGCCTTTCAGCAGACGAGAGTTTCTGTTATTTTTTGGGGGAATTGGGGATATTTGTATTCTAACGCATGTATTTCCTGTGCGATTCCCTAAATGAGGACACATACTATCTCTTAGAAATGGGGCTCATCAAAATTTTGGTAATGTCGTTCTGGACTCAGCTGGAAAAAGCACCTACAAAAATTACAACAGACAGTTACCCTACTTCATTGTACCACACTATTTATCTTTTTTTACCTGCAACAAACATCCTCAGGATCGACCCAAAGAGTCATTTCTACTGGTAAAAGTAATTCCGCACATTCCAATCCTGCATCACTTGCAGCTTTTTCAAGGACTGGGTCAATAGGTTCCGATGGGTTTATTCGGATACACCGGAATCCCTGTCCCTTAGCTGGCCTATCTCTATACCAGTGGTTCTTAAATTTTTCTACCAAAATGGCGGATAAACAACTGGAAAAGTCGTCTACCTTGCCCTTCGAAAGGCTACCATTTTGTCGAATAAGTCGTGTCACGAACACGACTGCCGCTGCTATTTCCTCTCGCATACCTCAAGTCATTCAATTCAATCAACTCTCCTAAATTCATCGAAATAAAACCACTTAGCTAGCCTCCGATCCTTTTTCCTGCACTCCTCAAGCTTGTTGACACACGCAGCCTCGTTTTGAATTTTGTTATTTTTCACGTAGGTGCTCGCGCGCCTGAATGAATGAAATGACTTATGAATTAGGTCAGCAGTATGAAATAGATACTGAAATAAATTAATTATGAAAAAAGTAAACATTCAGTAAAACCGAGAAACTTTTACTGATCAACTTCTCGGGGAAAATGAGTCTGTCATGTTTTATTTAACTGTACTTATACGAGCTGACATCGGAGACTTCTGACCGAACGGTATTAACGTTACGGTAATGATGTCCGTTTGTGGCATTTCATTCTTATTTCGTCTGATATTTGTTTCATTTATTTACTTCATATATTCAATAAATCGTACAACTAATTTTAGAAGTTCCTTATCCATACATTTGTAATTATTGATCAACAAGCACTTGGCAATGATGTCTTTTTTTTATTATTGGACCAATCAAATCGCGAGTTTTACTGTTGTTGCTAAGTACGTCATATGGCGGGATTACAGCCACGTGTTTTTGTTTACATCACGTATGAATTTTGTCTCTTTTCCAACAATATAAACACATGTATTAAGAAGACGAGTAATTCTCTGATTAGTGTTATAGTTACCCTGATTTATCACATTACGGTTATTTTTGTAACAGATATCATGTTTACAGCCGAAACAAATGTTACTGAATCAATTATGAAATAATATTTTGAATTCATGAAGCAATATGACGATACTCCATAATGAGAGGGCATATGTTTGATTTTGTTTCAATCTACATAATCAGGTTCATACATACACAGACTTGTATAAAATAACAAGTTATATTTATTATAATGAATGTTTTAATGCTATTACATTATGGAGAGATGCCATAGTCACAGAGGTCGTTCAAAAAATATATTTCCTAAACGATCAACAATTATGGTAATACATTTTTTTTTCTAACAGAACAGTTAAAATTTGGAATGAAGTACCAGAAAACGTTGTATCTGCTTGGAATGTTAATTTATTTGAAAAATAGACTAGATGATCACAGAAAAAACCAAGAACTTTAATTATGAAGCATCAATCCAGAATTAGATATCAAGTCCAGTACCGGATATATGTATTTTATCATGTATTCATACTGTATTGAGTCTGGTATAGAGGACAAGACCTGAACCAGAAATAAACTTATTTAAAGCCGTATATGAACATACTGTGTAACCAAAGTAATGACATTTAATAAACGGCATATGTGACACTGGGTTGTATAATTAGCATGTTTATGAAATACACATACATTTATTTGAAACAAATATATATATAACACAGGTTATTATTTATTCCGATGCCTCCTCTAGGAATCGAACCTGGGACCCCTGGCTTACTAGTCTGATACTCAACCGATTGCGCTAAGGATATAGCTCCTAAAAAGTGTCCAGCACACGTATAGGCTAACCAGAAAAATAATGGGAAGGAAAGGAGGTTAATAAAAAGAGGGGAAAATGATGGAAATGACTGAAACAAGATGGAATTTAACAGTTCTTACATAAAATAAAGGAGAGTAAGGAATGTGCTTAGATTTGCTCTTTTAACAAATCTCAATTCAATATAACTAAAAGTTCCAGAACCGCTGCTATCTACTTCCACTGAGGTTTGAACTCAGATCTTTTTCCAAGAAAGGAAAGTGTTCTTTCCAGTTGAACTACGAAAGTTCTCTCTTCTTTGCAGAGCCTGGTATTTGTAACTGTTATGGTTGAAAGTTTGTGGCTAAGTCCCCTGACAGAACAACATCATTTGTTAGTGAAACTGACAATCACTCCAAAAGCCATAGACAATTCTCCTCTGCTTTTACAAGGGGTTGGAACCTTCTACTATAGGACCAATATATGCAAATTTTGCAATACAGTAGGCAGCATTTAAAATTGTTATGGTTGTTACCATTTCCTTCTCCAGAAGTTTTCTTCTTTCAATTAAAATTTAATTAAAGCTACAAGTTTGTGCAGTTATAGGTATGAATGACGATCATGAAAAAGGAGGTGTTAAACATGAAGAGAAGGGTGAAATTGGTTTTCATACTGAAATACCAATACTTATCAAGAACTTACATCATCAAGGAGATTTGTGAATAAGGTTGAGGCTCAGACCATCCACTGGTGGCAAGAGACGGCTCCATATGAAGCTCAGACTGTCCACAAGTGGCAAGAGACGGTTCTAGATGAAGCTCAGACTGTCCACAAGTGGCAAGAGGTGGTTCTAGATGAGGCTCAGACTGTCCACAAGTGGCAAGAGATGGTTCTAGATGAGACCCAGACTGTCCACAAGTGGCAAGAGATGGTTCTAGATGAGGCTCAGACTGTCCATAAGTGGCAAGAGATGGTTCTAGATAAGACCCATAAAGTCCACTGGTGGCAAGAGATGGTTTTAGATGAGACCCAGACTGTCCACAAGTGGCAAGAGATGGTTTTAGATGAGACCCAGACTGTCCACAAGTGGCAAGGGATGGTTCTAGATGAGACCCAGACTGTCCACAAGTAACAAGGGATGGTTCTAGATGAGACCCAAACTGTCCACAAGTGGCAAGGGATGGTTCTAGATGAGACCCAGACTGTCCACAAGTAACAAGGGATGGTTCTAGATGAGACCCAGACTGTCCACAAGTAACAAGGGATGGTTCTAGATGAGACCCAGACTGTCCACAAGTAACAAGAGATGATTCTAGATGAGACCCAGAAAGTCCACTGGTGGCAAGAGATGGTTCTAGATGAGGCTCAGTCTGTCCACTGGTGGCAAGAGATGGTTCTAGATGAGACCAAGACTGTCCACAAGTGGCAAGAGATGGTTCTAGATGAGACCCAGACTGTCCACAAGTGGCAAGAGATGGTTCTAGACGAGGCTCAGACTGTCCATAAGTGGCAAGAGATGGTTCTAGATGAGACCAAGACTGTCCACAAGTGGCAAGAGATGGTTCTAGATGAGACCCAGACTGTCCACAAGTGGCAAGAGATGGTTCTAGATGAGGCTCAGACTGTCCACTGGTGGCAAGAGATGGTTCTAGATGAGGCTCAGACTGTCCACTGGTGGCAAGAGATGATTCTAGATGAGACCCAGAAAGTCCACTGGTGGCAAGAGATGGTTCTAGATGAGACCAAGACTGTCCACAAGTGGCAAGAGATGGTTCTAGATGAGACCCAGACTGTCCACAAGTGGCAAGAGATGGTTCTAGATGAGACCCAGACTGTCCACAAGTGGCAAGAGATGGTTCTAGATGAGGCTCAGACTGTCCATAAGTGGCAAGAGATGGTTCTAGATGAGACCAAGACTGTCCACTGGTGGCAAGAGATGGTTCTAGATGAGACCCAGACTGTCCACAAGTGGCAAGAGATGGTTCTAGATGAGACCCAGACTGTCCACAAGTGGCAAGAGATGGTTCTAGATGAGACCAAGACTGTCCACAAGTGGCAAGAGATGGTTCTAGATGAGACCCAGACTGTCCACAAGTGGCAAGAGATGGTTCTAGATGAGACCCAGACTGTCCACAAGTGGCAAGAGATGGTTCTAGATGAGGCTCAGACTGTCCATAAGTGGCAAGAGATGGTTCTAGATGAGACCCAGACTGTCCACAAGTGGCAAGAGATGGTTCTAGATGAGACCCAGACTGTCCACAAGTGGCAAGAGATGGTTCTAGATGAGACCAAGACTGTCCACAAGTGGCAAGAGATGGTTCTAGATGAGACCCAGACTGTCCACAAGTGGCAAGAGATGGTTCTAGATGAGACCCAGACTGTCCACAAGTGGCAAGAGATGGTTCTAGATGAGGCTCAGACTGTCCATAAGTGGCAAGAGATGGTTCTAGATGAGACCAAGACTGTCCACTGGTGGCAAGAGATGGTTCTAGATGAGACCCAGACTGTCCACAAGTGGCAAGAGATGGTTCTAGATGAGACCCAGACTGTCCACAAGTGGCAAGAGATGGTTCTAGATGAGGCTCAGACTGTCCACTGGTGGCAAGAGATGATTCTAGATGAGACCCAGAAAGTCCACTGGTGGCAAGAGACGGTTCTAGATGAGGCTCAGACTGTCCACTGGTGGCAAGAGATGATTCTAGATGAGACCCAGAAAGTCCACTGGTGGCAAGAGACGGTTCTAGATGAGACCCAGATTGTCCACAAGTGGCAAGAGATGGTTCTAGACGAGGCTCAGACTGTCCATAAGTGGCAAGAGATGGTTCTAGATGAGACCAAGACTGTCCACAAGTGGCAAGAGATGGTTCTAGATGAGACCCAGACTGTCCACAAGTGGCAAGAGATGGTTCTAGATGAGGCTCAGACTGTCCACTGGTGGCAAGAGATGGTTCTAGATGAGGCTCAGACTGTCCACTGGTGGCAAGAGATGATTCTAGATGAGACCCAGAAAGTCCACTGGTGGCAAGAGATGGTTCTAGATGAGACCCAGACTGTCCACAAGTGGCAAGAGATGGTTCTAGATGAGACCCAGACTGTCCACAAGTGGCAAGAGATGGTTCTAGATGAGGCTCAGACTGTCCACTGGTGGCAAGAGATGATTCTAGATGAGACCCAGAAAGTCCACTGGTGGCAAGAGACGGTTCTAGATGAGACCCAGATTGTCCACTGGTGGTAAGAGATGGTTCTAGATGAGACCCAGAAAGTCCACTGGTTGCAAGAGATGGTTCTAGATGAGGTTAAGATTGTCCAGTGATACCAGGAGATGGTTCTAGATAAGGTTAAGATTTCCAGTGGTGACAAGAGATGGCTCTAGATGAGGTTAAGATTGCCCAATCTTAGCAGCTGATGACTCCAGAAAGTTCTGAACAGATGTAGTGGCAGAGACGGTTCTATACAGGTCACAAACTCTCCACAATGGGCAGAAGATGACTTTGGACAAGTAGTGTTTGTCGTCTGTCTATCTGTCTGTCAGTCT